CTATAAAGCTTCCGCTGGATCTCTCCGAAGCCCAATGCTTCTGAGTTCCTACTGGAGCCTACAATATATCATGTGGTACTTAATGGAGTCCACCTTGTGCTGTTTACACAATCATAGTGCTGAGCCCATGGAAGACACCAAACATTTGTTTATCTAATCATTTTCTGGAGAGGATTTGAAATCCTCAAGTAGTTTTAGATTACTGAGCATGGGAATGACAAATACATGGCCCAAATGCTGTCCTTCATATTGCTGACAGACATCATTAATTGAGTTCCAAAAGCATTCAGCCACGATGCTTTTTCCACCCTGTACTTGGAAAGTCATTGCTAATCAATCAAAGATAAAATGTGAGATAAAACTGACTTGCCATGGTTGCTATAGCACACTGCTTCTTTGACTTATTATTTGGAAAAGAGCTAAATAGTAAAGCCAGGACTAAAACTTAGCCCTCCCATTTCCCTGTTGGGTGCTGTTCTGGTTTACAACAACTGACTGGAAAAAAAAAAAAAAACCCTTTCATTTAACTTTATGATCAGAAATTTAAAATCTGTTGATTACAAGGAGAAAAAATATGAACCGTTCCCTCTGTCTTTTTGTTTTCTTTCTTTTACTATGTGTGTGTGTGTGCTCTGTGTGTGTGTGTTATGTGTGTGAGAGTGTACATGCACACTCACATACGTGTAAGAACCTAAAGGCTCAGTCACAAGATTTTAAGTTCAATGTAAAAAAGTTTCTGATGGGGCTGGAGAGATGGCTTAGCAGTTAAGAGCATTGCGTGCTCTTCCAAAGGACCTGAGTTCGATTCCCAGCCACCACATAGTGGCTCACAACCATTTGTAATGAGATCTGATGCCCTCTTCTGGCCTACAGGCGTACACACAGACAGAATATTGTATACATAATAAATAAATAAATATTTTTATAAAAAAGTAAAAAAAAAAGTTTCTGATCCTCAGAGGCCCTCTCGGGGAGTTCACGGCCCTCCTGGAAAGTCAGAGTCCACGGTGAGTCAGATGGAAGCACATAGGGCGCCGAAGCCTTGAGTCTCACATGGGTGGAGTATATGTTATATATAGAGTGAGACAGAGATGTACACACACACACACACACACACACACACACACACACACACAATGATAGCTTCTCCCAGGCTGTAGGCCCCTTCCCATTTAGTAACTCACTTTGTCCTTAGAACCTTTGTAGGCAGTGTACTGGTATCCTGGCCAGTTCCAGAGAGCAAGAAGACAAGGCATTAGGGGACTAAGGAACTGTCCTAAAGTCACAATACTAGAAAGGGGTGGAAGAGGTATGTGATCTAAAAGGACACGCTCTTAACCAGGGACAAGAGGCGGAAGCAATGAGATCAGTGAGTGGCTGTGAAAAGGGGAAGAGCATGGGAAAGCACAGGAGAGCTTGTAGAAACGGGCATTCAGAACTGTCCCTGAGGGTGGCTCTGTGGCGGGCAGTGGGACAGAGGTATCCTTCTTTTGTTATATGTGTGGCAGTTCTTTGCTTTGACCCCTGAGCAAATCTACTACCTCTACCAAGAATATTCTCACCGATACTTTCAATCAGTCTGTGTCAAAAACACACTTCCTCTAGGGTTTGGCCTGGCTTTCTCTAACTCAGCCAGCCACACACTGGGTATTAATATGACATACTTTTTGTATTTGAGCTATCTCTTTAATCAGCTGAACTTTATGGGAAAAGATGTCTCCCCACTATGGGCTCCATTATTTTTTACACACAACAAACATGTAACAAAAAAAGGACTGGACTCCCAAGGAGTTCAGTCAACGCATAGTAAGATGGAAGTTATTCTTTCCAAAGCAGAGCTTGTTTGCAGACAATGAACTGACGACAGAAGTATGTGGAAGGGGGATGAGCAAGAATTCTGACGGTCCTTTACATCACTCAACTCTGCCCCGGCCACGCCCAGCACTTCTGGACCAAGCCTCCAGGGAGTCCGCATTGGATGAGTGTACGCTCTCCTCAACACCAAGATACCTTATGTCATTTAACCCTAAGAAACAAAACTATTGCTCTAATATTAGCTGATGTAGGGGGTCTAATATCTATTTATTGGTTAATTAATAAAGAAACTGCTTGACCTGATAGGTCAGAACATAGGTAGGCGGAGTAAACAGAACAGAATGCTGGGAAGAAGGGAAGTTAGGCAATCGCCATGCTTCTCCTCTCTGAGACAGACGGGATGAAGCTCCAGCCCAAGATGGACGTACACTAGAATCTTCCTGGTAAGCCACCACCTCATAGTGCTACACAGATTATTAGATATGGGTTAAAGCAAGATGTGAGAGTTAGCCAGTAAGAGACTAGAGTTAATGGGCCAAGCAGTGTTTATATGAATACAGTTTGTGTGTTGTTATTTCAGGGCATAAGCTAGCCAAGCGGCCGGGAGCCAGGTGGCAGGAACGCAGCCTGTTGCTCCTTCTACAATTAGCCTTTTTCAGAAAGAAAAACTGAGGCTTAGAGAATTTATGAGTCCCCTTGGGTCACAGTTTAAGAGGGAGTTCTGGTTCCTAAGGTCTTCTGATTTAAACTCGGGAAGCTTGAGCTGGGAGGTGGCAGGACAGAGGAAGAATGAAAAGCATTCCTGGCTCTCCTTTTCAGAGCTCCCTCAGGCTGACACCACCTGGGTAGCTGAGCCCTGTGTGCCCATCCCTGCCGCCCAGCTCTCAGACATGCTCTTGTTCCCTATCGTGGAGGGTTAGCTGATGCTGCACAGCTCCCCATCTGGAACTGTGCAGGGTAGAAGGGAGATGCTGCACTCAAGTTACAGCCCAGCTCCAGGCCAGGCCACAGTGCAGCGCCTGCGTGCCCTGCCTGATTTTCAGATGTCTTGAAAAGTCATCACTGTGGGAGTCAGCCATGATAAGCTAAGCATGGGCAGGTCAACCAAAGGAAGTTCTTTACTTCCAACCATTACCACCTGCCAGAGTAGGACTCTGGCCATTGATAAATTTAAATGGAGGCCTGAGTCTCAGTAGCTTACCCTGTACAATATCTGGTTGCAGGAAGAACCACAAGCTGAGATTACCCAACCTCCACCCAAGAACAGACCATTCAGAGGAAATTCCTAATATTCCGCTGTAGATAGAACACACTCACCGGGACACCCCTAGACAAATGTCAGCCAATCAGGGGTCCTGAACCTCAGAAACACCTCACCCCCATCTTTACTACTATAAAACCGTATTCTAATTGAGCTCGGAACTCTCCGTTTATTCCAATAAGTTGGACATGCGGAGAGACCGAGTTTGCAAACTTGCTTAAAATAAAGGCTCTTTGCTTTTACATATGGGACTCGGCCTCCTTGTTGGTTTTGGGGGGACTTCGCAGATTTGGGCATAACAGTCACAGCTTCAGCAATTTTTCCATGACATCAGGACTGCAACAGCAACAGTAGACTGAGGACCTCTCCACCTGCTCACTTTGGCCTTCCTCCTTTTCTCTTCCTGCATACTTGATTCCTACTCTGGTATTTGGAGCCTACACATGCTGGGCAAGTACTCTATGCCTTAGCTCTATCTCTAGCCTTCTTTTTAGTTTTTCCAGACACAGGGTCTCATTAAGTTGCCCAGACTGTCCCACAGTGTGGGGAGGTGCTGGATAGTCACCTCCTAGCCACCTCAGGGTGGGCCAGCATCTGCTGCGCTCCCCACCCTGATACTACCTTTGCCACAGTTAATGGCTGCCCTTGTTCCTCTCGCCCATCAAGAACTTCTTCTTTCCTATCTGTTTTTCAAACTGGCTTTCAGGAAAGGGACAGAGGAGCTGAACCACAACAGGGAACCATCTGTTAATGTTGTACCACGTGAGGTTTAAAATAAGCTAGTGCTTACTTAAAACCAGAGGAAGAAAGTAGGTGAAGAAAGTATACAGCAAGAGTCTAAACACTGCTCTCGCTCAGTAAAAACACTATTTGAATATCATTGTATTCATTTGTGGTTATAATCTGGATAAAGAGATGGTTTCTCAGCCTTGTGGAATGTACCCTGCTGGTGATTCCGCTGACCCCTGTAGCCATCACTGGCCCCGTGTCTGGGTCCTGTGAGGGACTTTGATTTTGCTCAGGCTCTGAGAAGCTGCTGTTCCACACTACGGCAGGAACAGGCATCTCTTGGCCATTCTCCAGCTCCCCCAGGACTGAGGAGGAATTTAGAGTTGTTTCATGTTCATTTCTCCAGAAAAGGAAGCCGTCCACTCCACTTCTGTTCGTGTTAAAAGTACACTAAAACCCTTCAAGATACCAAGGAAAGGGTCCAGAAGAGGCAGCAGCCTTCAAACTCAGCTGACCCAGGCATTCAGCAAAAGTGTGGCCAGGGCTTTCAGGATGAGTTCAACATAGGGGCACGAGGAGAAAGGCTTCAAGGGATTTTGCTGCAGGTGACCACTCTGAACGTTTGTGTGTGTGTGTGTGTGTGTGTGTGTGTGTGTGCGCGCGCGTGCGCGCGCGTGTGTGTGTAACTAGAGACGGACGGAAGATAGAACATAAATACTGCCTCTAATTTTCTCATGTCTCAAATGTAGCACTCCACGTTGCTTGTCACTTGGCTCGTCACAGACTGACGGGGAAGCAGGACACTAGTGACTTAAAAACCAAAGCCTCGGTTTGCTCCACTACTGTTGTCTTCCTGGGAATCCCTGTATAAGTCATGGATCCTTTTGCTAGACTTCAGTTTAAGGGGGGAGATGGGAAGATTAAATATGCATTCAATTTCACATCTGGCTATCCAGTACAATAAAATACACAGTTATTCAACAGTAATTCACAAAGATAACATAAAGTCTCCCCTTGGCGAACACATGTTCATTGAGAAAAAACGTTAAGAATTTCAATACTGAGGTGAGACTTCTCATTACACTCACGTACATTCCAGGAAGAGTATTGACCGAAGAGGACAGGATTTTTGAGTCATTCACCTGTGGCGCTGAAAGGGGGCTCACAGGGAACCTCAGACTCCCACATCATTTACCTGGAAATATTGCCACAAATGACTGAGCACGGCTGAGTGTTGTGTAAGTATCGGATGGCTTTGGAGGTTCCTATTAGCACACTGATTCGAACGTGCCAGGAAAGTGGGGCCGTATTATCCTAGAGAGAGAGAGAGAGAGAGAGAGAGAGAGAGAGAGAGAGAGAGAGGAGAGAGAGAGAGAGGTTGGTTTGGTTGCATATTCTTACTGCAAATTACCTATATATCCACTATGTGGGTGCACGCTACATAGCGGGAGACGGCAAGGTGGAGTGGGAGGTGAATTATTTCAGTTTGCTACAACCAAGTTCTAATCCCAAATGGGTTTTCCTCTACGCATGTAGAGCAGTGTCTCTCAACCTCTGGGTCACAACCCCCACAGGGCTCACACATCAGATACCCCGCATATCAGACAGTGACATGATTCATAACAGTAGTGAAATTACAGTTGTGAAGTAGCAATGAAATAATTGTAAAGTTGGGGGTCACCACAGCATAAGGAACTTCATTAAAGGGCGGCAGCATTAGGAAGGTTGAGAACCACTGGTCTAGGGAAATACCTAACAATTTTTAACTTTAGTTAAACTGTAACCAGTAGGCTGAGAGCACAGCTCAGGGGTAAAATCCTTGCTTAGCATGCATAAGACCCTGTGCCCACCTAAATACCACATGCTAAGAGAAGTGGAGACACATTATAAACTCGCTTGTTTATGTGACAATATTACACAGAACCCAGTGACTCCTGTGTTCAGGCAACCTTTGAGAGGGTCTCTGCTTCATTCCTGAATATCCCCAATGTGTGAGCTCACCCCACCTCTCGGCTCCCTCCAGGGCCAACAGCTCCCCTTTACCCCAGGTAGCCCTGACTTACAGCACACTGCAGTCTGTCGAAAAGCGTCCCGTTGCTCATATATGGATGAACCAGGCAAAGCTTCTCCATCTCAGTGAAATATGCAGCCAGCTCTAGTATGTGAGGATGACGGAACCTTGAACCAGAAATTTTGAAGCTGTCAAATACATCACTCAAATAGAAGGTGAATGAGACTAACTAGGAACGATGGGAAACAGTTGTAAAGTGAGACTAAGTTAGGCCAAGAGACAAGAATTGCATTGGCAGTTCCAACAAGTGCTAGTTCTACCCCCCTTTGATTGACTGTCGGCATGCAAATAAAAATAATATACTAAAATAAAAATATTAAAATTTAAGGAAGCATTGATTTCTTAAGGTGTGAGATATGGAGAACTTCATACAGAAAGGAAAACACGATTACATATTCACTTTGAGGAGGCCTAACTTAACACTCATGCAGCCAAGGCAAGCTGCAGACTAACAGTACTAGGACTAGGCCTGTAAGCAGTAACCAGGAAAAACCACAGACTGTTCCCTGCGGGGGACCAATCAGAACTGAGACAAACAAGTACTAGGCGCTCCAGAACTGTAAGAAGAGCTCACCTAACTTGTATATGGTTGCCCATTTCTTGGCAGCAAGCCAGTACCAACCCCTGTTTGACAAGACTCCGGCTGCTCCATTCCTGCCCAGCAGGAGTTGAACCCCCTTCTGATGCTGGAATTCCCCCACTCACCCCCATTCTTTAGTCCTTAAAACCCTGCCAGAGCTGAGCTCAATGCTATCCCTAATCCAACCACTGTGTTGAAAGGACAGAGAGTCAACTTGAGCCTGCGATAAAGGCTCTTTGCTTTTGCATACAAACTTGGACTCTGGTGGTCACTGGGGGCCCAGTGACGCAGGCATAACAACGTATTTTAACTGATACAAAATTGTGTCTCCTCTTTATTTTGTTAAGTAAATAATTATGACGCGATTGAGACCTATCAGTTTCAGTAATCACAAAAACACAGGATTAGCGAAGTTTGTCTTATCCACCCACTAATGGAGCATTCCTACCTCAGGTGCCCTGTTAAACCCTGGTTACAAGCAGGAAAAGGATAGTCATGTCTTTCCAAAGCTTGTATTGTTATCTAAAATCCACACAATAGTAGCTGGAAGTATAAAATTACGACACTGACTTTAAATCACAGATTTCTACATTGGCATAATATATATATTTCTTAGCTCCTATCCTAATCAATTAACCAATTAACCAAAATAAGCTCTAATCCTTTGACGTCATTGGTTTATGAAGATCATAAACGCACTCCAGGTGTGACGGCTAATCCTCATTGTTGACTTGATTAATTAGAATCACATGACAAAACACCGCATGTGGGCGGCACCATCTCCTGGACGAGAGTCCAGAAACGAATAAAAAGGGCAAGGCAAGCCAACCACAAGAACCTCGTCTTCCTTCTTCTAGACTCTAGGCTCTGTAAGACCAGGTACCTCACAATCTTACCACGTGACTTCCTGCCGTGATGGACTGTGCTCTCAAACCATGAGCCAGAACAAACCTTGGCTTCCTTAAGTCTTTTTGGTCAGGTGTCTTGTCATAGCAGCAACTAAAGTATTAACACACCAGATAACTGCAAAATACACAGACTGTGAGCTCCACTTAATATGCTGAGTGCCTGCTATGTTTTGGACATATTTGGGAACATTAAAATAAATGAAGCTGTAAAAAAAATGCTCTACTTATAAAGATCTATAATTTGCTTCTTTTGTAGCAAATTTCCTACAAGCACAAATATACTCTCTTAAATACACATGCATAGATTTATATAGTATATATATTTATCTGGTATATCTCTCTTGCCTCAAACACACCAGAATGTCTGTGTGTGTATACATCTGTGGTTTGGGAGGTCCTTCTGTCTCTGTGTTGTTTTCATTGGTTAATGAATAAAGAACCTGCCTTAGACTGTTGATAGGGCAGAACTTAGGTAGGTAGGGAAACTAAATGGCATGCTGGGAGAAAGGAGGCAGAGTCGGAGGAGACACCATGGATCCACCAGAGACAGATGCTAGGAATTTTACCCCGTAAGCCACTGCCATGTGGCAATACACAGATTAATAGAAATGGGTTAAATTAAGATGTAAGAGTTAGCCAATAAGAAGTTAGAGCTAATGGGCCAAGCAGTGATTTAATTAATACAATATCTGTGGTTATTTTAGGGATAAACTAGCCGGGCAGCCAGGATGAACAAGTGGCCCCTCCTTGCAACAGTGTTCATCTGTACCTATAAACATATACACAAACACATGGAAAGACTTTATTTTAAAACATGTCAAAAATAAGATCCCTACACTTATTATTATGACTCAGATTGCACAATAGAAAACAGTGGTATAGTAATAAATTGAGGAGGTATGTTGAGCTGCTTAATCAGATAATCTGTGCCACTGCCTGGCTGCTTCTCCTCCAACCTAAAATAATGCAGAGATAAACGTCATTTGGAAAGCAGAGGACAGGAGATATCATAGAAGCAAGGCAGTCCCTGATTCTCCGTTCTCTTGTGAGCACAACAGAAATGACAACTTGCTTATTTTTAATATTTATTTTATTTTATGCATATGGTTTTGCCTGCAAGTATGTCTATCCACCACTTATGTGTCTGATGCCTGTCGAGGCCAGAAGAGGGAATCAGATCCCCTTGAACTGGAATAGAATCTGTCACCATAGATGATTGTGAATTGACATGTGGGTTCGGAGAATCAAACCTGGGTCCTCTGCAAGAGCACTCAGTGCTCTTAACTGCTGAGCCACCTCTCTAGACCCACAATTTGCCTATTTTTAAATGTTACTGATCAAGCAGAAAAAAAAAAAACTGGATAGATCAGATGTTAGTGAGGAAGGAATACGGAAAGGCACTAGGGGTGGAACTGCCTCTTCCGAGCCTACAAACTCATGCCACCAATAATTTCCCTAGCAGCTAACTTTTTTTTTAAAGTACTCTCTGTCTGTTTTATTTATTATGTATCCAATATTCTGTCTGTGTGTATGTCTGCAGGCCAGAAGAGGGCACCAGACCTCATTACAGATGGTTGTGAGCCACCGTGTGGTTGCTGGGAAGTGAACTCAGGACCTTTGGAAGAGCAGGCAATGCTCTTAACTGCTGAGCCATCTCTCCAGCCCCCACAACTAACTTTGAAGTTCATAGAATTTTAAGTTAGATAGATCAAGATCAGCATATCTGATACTAACTGAAATCAGTTCAGAAAATGTTTCTAAATGGTCACCGTTGGCAGAACATCACAAGTCTCCATGGTGAGACACAGCAGGCAGACTTGAAGGACACACAAACTTGGGCTTGCATTCCTGTCTTTATGACAACTGTGCAAATGTAGTCAGGTTGTTTCAACTCTCTGAGAAGGTGTCTACAACTATATTCAGGAATTAAGACATCTGCCTCTTGCCAGGTGTGGTTGCCTACACCTTTAATCCCAGGAGAAATTTAAACTCAGGAGGCAGAGGCAGGCAATCTCGGAGTTCCATCCCAGTCTGGTCTACAGAGTCAGCTCCAAGACAGCCAAGGGTACGGAAGAGAAACTCTGTTTCAAAAACCAAAACCAAAACCAAGCAAACACACAAACAAAAAGGGATCTAATGGGGAACTCTGAAACACAGCCTGCTACAATACAGAGAGGACCAAGGTGAGTGACCAGATACCCAAGGGGACACCCCTCTCTCTAGGCTCTCTGCCTCAGCTTCTCTAGCCAGCCAGCAGGGAGTTTCCAGCAGGTAGGTTGCCCCAATACCCACCCCATCCATCAGATCCTTTAAACTAGAAACCCCACCCTGCCCCAAACTCCCCTATCCTCCTGCAACCTCAGTGGAACTCTGAAACACAGCTTGCTACAATGCAGAGAGGATCAAGAGGTGAGTGACCAGCCACCAGGCAAGACACCTCACTCCCTAGGCCCTCCATAGTGGGGCAAAACCCTTGGCCCCTCCCCCACCTGCCTAGGCTTCTATAGCCAGACAGCAGGTGAGTTTCCTGCAGGTAGGCTGCTCCAACACCCCAATCTCACTCATTGGATCCTGAAAGCTACAAATCCTACTCCACCTCCAAGCCTTCCAACCCCACCCCTATCCCTCAACCTCAGAGGAATGCTGAGACACAGGCTGCATCCACACAGAGAGGACCAAGAGAGGAACTAACGCACAAGCTTTAGATTCGAATTAGAAAGGAAGAAGCCAACCTTTAGTTATTTGCAGTTGATATGATACTGTACATAAGTGACCTTCCAGGGAAGAGAGAAAACATCCAAATTAACAAGATCAGAAATGAAAAAGAGGATATAACAACAGACATAGAGGAAATCCAGAGAATCATTAGGTCATACTACAAAAACGTACTCCACAAAATTGGAAAATGTAAAAGAAATGGACAACTTTCTGGATAGATACCATATACCAAAATTAAATCAAGACCAAGTGAGCAATTTAAATAGACCTATAAACTGCAAGGAAATAGAAGCTGTCATCAAAAGCCTCCCAACCAAAAAAATAACCCAGGGCCAGATGGTTTCAATGCAGAATTCTACCAGAACATCCAAGAAGAGCTAATACCTATAGTCCTCAAAGTGTTCCACACAATAGAAACAGAAAGGACACTGTCAAACAGTTACCCTGAGACCAAAACCATACAAAAACTCAACCAGGAAAGAGAATTACAGAACAATCTCACTCATGAACATAGATGCAAAAATACTCTATAAAATACTGGCAAACTAAATTCAAGAAAACATCAAAAAAAAATTATCCACCAGCTTCACCCCAGAGATGCAGGGATGGTTCAACACACAAAAATCTATCAATGTAATCCACCATATAAATAAACTGAAAGAAAAACCTATATAATCATCTCATTAGATGCTGAAACACCCTTTTTGACCTTTCATGATAAAGGTCTTGGAGAGAGCAGAGATACAAGGAACATATCTAAATATAATAAAAGCAATATACAGCCAGCCTACAACCAACATTAATTTAAATGGAGAGAAACATAAAACAATTCCACTAAAATCAGGAACAAGACAAGGCTGTCCACTCTCATCATATCAATTCAACATAGTTCCTGAAGTTC